CTCTCTCTCTCTCTCTCTCTCTCTCTCTCTCTCTCATTTCAAAAAGAAGGCACTTACCAAGAGTTTTTGATCTTCACTGCCATTCAGAATACAGAATATTTCTCTTAGGTTGCAAAGCAATAAAACCATAAAGTGATTAAGAAGGTGAGGCTTCTGGCAATCCAAAGGCTGCACAGCAATTTAGGGCACATTGTAAATCCTCTGCTCCCAAGCTCCTCAACCCATGATGGACCACAAGACACTAAATTCCTGCAGGTTTCTCGTGAGGAGCAGCTTTTCCAGAGCCCAAATGGTTGATCCCCCAATTTCTCCTTTCTCCGGAGAAATTTCAGTCAGCCAGAACTGTCTCCTGGCAGAAAATGCCACTGTTGTGCTGTTCCTGGTTTCCGAGCCGTTGGCAGAGACATCTAGCCAGCCGTAACCCCTCACCCGGAAGCCCTGGAGAAAATCTATCGACGTGGTCACTAAAAGTCAATGCTGACTTGATGGCTCATCATCATGAAATAAGACATGTTCGAAGGCTTAGAGCAGTGATGGTGAACCTATGTCACGCGTGTCAAAGGTGACACACCAGCATTCACCAACACCCAACAACAACTGTTCACCCTGTTTGAGTTACCAAAGAAACCAAGTTTGTTTTACCCATATTTCATTTTTGTAATTATTTGATGTTTCTTTATATAATACCTAGCACCACACATGATTGGACTGTATTTTTTTAAAATAAATTAATATGTAAAGAATTGTTTCTCTTTTGTTGGGGGGGGGGTGACACGCCAGCAGAGTCAGATTAGGCATTTTCTGAATTTTTGACATGCCGAGCCCAAAAGGTTCGCCACCACTGGCTTAGAGCGAGGAGGAGCCCACTCACTGCCCTTTTTGTTAACGAACTGGTTCCATCATTGAACTGCCCTTAACCCAGAGAAGTTTCTCCAAATGTTCACCTGAAACCCACTTTCCTCTAATGTAAGCCAATGAGAAGAAGCCTAAATCTCTTGTCCCCCCTTCTTCAGGGTTTGGGTTTGTCTGTCTGTTTGTTGGTTTAAAGCTGGTAGAAAAGGTTACAGCAGTGAATACTATTGGCCCCACTTCTCTGTTACCTAATATTTATGGGGGGATTTCAGAAGCTGTCAATTTCCCTCAGTTTCTTTTGGCAGATCTGTTCATTTCTTTTTGAACCAGTAAATAAAATCTGATTTTAAAAAAGCATTCAGACCATATTTTGATGTACCGTGTTTTTCCGACTATAAGACAATACTTTTTTCTAAAATCCTTACGCTAAAAATTGAAGGGCGTCTTATTCAAGGA